AAAGCTGTTAAAAATAAAATAAGGGAAAAAAAGCTGGGGAGTGGAGGGAGTTCCAAGCAGATGACTAGTGCATTCAAATGTCCTATAGAAGAAGGAACATGGAGAGTATAAGAAACAAAAGATGGCCAGTGTAGCAAAAGAAAACAATTGGCAGGAGTTGAAGGCAGAGGACACTTGAAGGGCAAACCATGCAGGACTCTGTGAATCAAAGAGTTTTAAATTTATTTTAATAATAATAGCAAACCTTTCCATGGCACTTACTATGTGTCTGACATTATTCTAAGTGTTTTATGTGTATTAACGATTTCATCCTAACACCGCTGTAATATTTATATCAGGATTTTACAAATAAAGAAACTGAAGTTCAGGGAGGTAAAGTAACTGCCTAAACAGCAAGGCTAGATTCAAACTCATCTAGTCTGGATCCTTCCTCATAATCAATACGTTGCAGTGCTTCTTCAAGGCCATTGTTCTGTTGGTTATCAAGAGCAATAAAAAGCCACTGAAGGCTTTCAAACAGGGGTGGACATGATCAATTTTTAAGAGTTTATTCTCACTGAAGGTTGAATATATAGTAGAGGAGGTCCCAACTTCCTGTAAGTAGACTATGACTGTATTTCAAGCAAGAGAACAAAGTAACTTAGATTATGGTGATGGTAATAGGGAGAAAAAACAATGGTGTTTATAGATGTTTAGAAAATATTAATGATGGGTAAAATGGACAGTTGATCATCACTTAAGTGTAATGTTTGGCACAGACATTCAGTCTGGTTGATTAGACAATTATAAAGACTGGTGAACCTTCTATCATTTACAAATTCACTTATTCATTTAGTGATCCTTTCACTCATTCATAAAGATAGGAATCAAATCTGAGTAACAAATTCTTTCATAGCATTCTTTCCATCACACGTATATTACATTTTCATTGAGTTCCTCATTGGAAACAGTGCAGATTAAACGCAGAGATGAAAAAATATTAAAATATCAAAAAACAAAATACATTCGTTTTTATTAATTCAAACACAATGCTTAACAGCACAAATGGTTTGTGACTGCTCTGAACACGTGTGAGCCGCATGCTCAACAAGAGGTCTCTACGGAAGGAATCAGTGGTGAATGAGCCAGTTAGGAAGAAGTGTGACTGCTGTTTCTGAACATACTCATTTTTCATATTTTTACTCTGAAATTAAGATAAATAAGAGGCTTAACGGTAGTAATATGGTTAATATGGATGTATGGATCACTTATATGTGCTTTTTGCTAAGGGACAAATGGAGATTTGATTGAAATTTGTTTTCTGTTTTTTTAAGTTAATTTTCATTGGAGCATAGTTGATTTACAATGTTGTGTTAGTTTCAGGTGTCCAGCAAAGTGAATCAGTTATACATATACATATATCTACTCTTTTTTAGATTCTTTTCCCATATAGGTCATTACAGAGTATTGAGTAGAGTTCCCTGTGCTATACAGTAGGTCCTTATTAGTTATCTGTTATATATAGTGTGTATATGTCAATCCCAATCTCCCAATTTATCCACCCCCCCCTTTATGTTATTGTCACTTAAAATGTTGCTGAGCACTTTTATAGGAAGATTCTTCTATGGGCAACTTTGCTGACTATTGGAGAATAAAAGTCTCAAATCTTTTGCAGTATTATTAATAACAATATAAATATTGCCGGTAAAAGTCTGAGTACACATCATCTGGTACAAAAAACTGTAACTGACTCACTTTCTATTGAGATTCCTTATTTCTCCAGGAGCAGAAACTTCATCTAAGACACCTCGGGGTCATTTCAGCCCTGATTTTCCTGAGATTGCACTGAGGTGCTGGGTTGCTTCTGTGGAGTCAAGTCTGTGCTGGGTGTGGAGGCTGAGGCAGGGTGGAGGACTCCTCTTGGCACTATGATCTCTCCAGCCTGCCATCTGGTGAGATGTCACTCTACCCAGGTCACTGTCTATGCGCTATGCATTTGTCATCCCTGGTAGAGATACACCTCTCTCGTGGACGCGGAAAGTGCTTCTAAACGCAGTCCGCATGGCATCAGTCATCTAAAGGACAGTCAGTAAACAAGAGAATAGAATGAGACGAAAATCAACTCAAAGATGTACCCTGCTGGTACTGGGTCAAGAAGATAAGCAAGTGCAGTGATAGCTAAGCTCAAGGTCACATGTGGGAGTGACCCTGTATTGTGTTTTTAAACTTTAGGGAAATATAATGATTAGATCAAAAAGTCAATTCAGTAGGGAGCAAGTCTGAGTAAAATAAGGCGGCAAAACGAAAAAGAGTGGAGAAAAACTCCAAAAGAATGAATACTTATATCAGAGGCTCAGATGTTTGCATTTGAGTGTTTCCAATTGTAGCCTGAGAAAGGGGGGCAGGGATATTTTCTGGCCATTTGTGTTTATTCCCCAATTTAGGTTTCTGCAGCATAAGCATAAAAGTCTGCCACACGGAGAGCCAGGTGGTCACGTTTCCTTGGCCTCATTTCTCTGCGTGCATTGCCTCACAGCTTCACATCATGGTATGAAAATTGTTAAAGAGGAAAAGACGACAGAAGCCTAAATCACTTCTATTCAATGTGAGAATAAATGGTGTCTGCAATACAAAAGGCTCTCCAGACACAGTACTTTGAGGTTACAGTTCTGTAATTTTGCTGAACTGAAAAAAAATCCCTTTCCTTTGGTCTTAAAATTTATTCAACATTCACATTTTATTAGCAAGTAAGCATGAACAAAACAGCTTTTGATAAACACAAAAGTTATTTTGCCTCATTATATTGAATGACAAGTGAGACCTTACAGCTTCACGTCAAATCGGTGGAAAAATAATTATCTGTAAAAAGTATGTGCAAACATTTTTCTACAAAGCTAAAGATTCAAGGCAACGTGTCTGGAATGTGTTTCTCCCTTTAGGCTGCCTCCATTCCATGAAAGATCTGTCTCAATTTCCGCTCTTCCCAGAGCCTCCTTTTGGTCTCTCTGCAAATCCATTCCTTCTGAATCTGCCTCCTTCCGACCCTGCAGATGGAAACCGTATGTTTCTCTGTTTAGGGAAGTGTGCCTAATCTTCTCAAGCAGAGATTTCTGGACACGTTTTATAATATCTTCATGTATGGCTTCCTAATGCACCAAATACACTGTAATGTGCTTTTGGTTTGCTTTCAACGCATTAATACATTCGTTGATTTTTTCTCAGCAAAATCTCTAAAATTAAGCATAGAGCTGTGAATTAGATTTATTTTGGACAAGCAAAATTTTTTTATTATTTTCAGTAAGTACTTGTTGATCACCTACTATGCTACAGCCTTGAGGTACAAAGATAAAAGACATAACTCAAAGCGTACCATCAAGTAGGCTTGGGTTGGCGGAAACCTGATGGAATCAATCCCATACGATGTAGGAAGGGCTGAAATGGAGAAACTACAGAAGCATAGAAGGAGACACATCCAGAAAAGTAAACTGACAAAAAAAGTTTAGCATTCCTTAAAAGGATAATTTTCATTTGTGAAGGAATGTATTCAAGTGTATAAAAGTGACATTAAATCATAAGTCTATCTTAAAATTTTATGGTTAACGGAAACATCTATCTAAAGTATTCAGAAAATATCTAGCCTAATTATGTACTTATCTTACACATGAAAGTAATAGCTTGCATATCATTTTGACATTAAATAAGTTAGAAAGCAATTTGTGTGTTTTGCTTTTTTTTTTTTTTTTTTTTTGCGGTACACGGGCCTCTCCTGTTGCAGAGCACAGGCTCCGGACGTGCAGGCTCAGCGGCCATGGCTCACGGGCCCAGCCGCTCTGCGGCATGTGGGATCTTCCCGGACTGGGGCACGAACCCGTGTCTCCTGCATCAGCAGGCGGACTCTCAACCACTGCGCCACTAGGGAAGCCCTGTTTTGCTTTTTTAATGAAACCAAATAAAGGATGGCAAGAATCAGGAGGCCATATCAAGGTGATAAAGCGAGAATTTGGAATTTCTGGGATGCCATGAAAAAACTAGGCCTCAAAGGGTGGTTCCTACATGTTGATAACTAATTGTCTTGAACAGATTTCCTGCCCAAAGTTACAAGGTCGGCAGGAATGTAGGGTAGGGAGGTAGGGATTTACTAAGGGATACAAAGGAACAGACTGAGATAAGGAAAGAAAGTTGAGAGTAACGGGTTGTTTTAAATGCAAACAGTGTTCTTAGAGGCAACAACTCACTACATAAAATATGCAAGTAAGAAGAGAAAAGCAAGTGTAATCTAAAACAGTAGCCATGAAAAAAACCTTTGAGAAGCTTTTCAAATTTTATAAAAGTGCCTCCTATTGTCAAAGCTCTCAAAAAGGTCAATTTTAATACCCAAATATTATTGGTAATATTTGTTATTCAAATAATAGTGAAAATATATGAGAAATAGCATTCCATAATCAAATCATGTAGTTTTCTTGTCTCCATATATTTTATTTTAGTACAAAGGATACTTTTCACTAAAAATGCAATTGAAGGAAGTGTAAGTCATTGTAAAGGAACAGCATATTTCAATCTAGAAAACCAAGGATTAAAAGGACTTGAAAATACACATCAATTTCTTATTGGTTATTGTCTACAAGAAGAGTAGAACTGGGGCTGCAGGATGAAGGGGACTTTGGATTTTACTCTGCACACTTCTGGATTAATTTGAATCTTTCACAACAATAATATATTCTTGCAATGGTAGGTATTTAGAAAACAATAAACGAGGTTATTTTTAATGTTGTAAAGAGCAGTAAGACCAAAATTAAAAAGGCATTGGAAACTATTACTAAGATTTGAGAAACAAAATTAATTAAAAACAATAACAGTAACTGGAACCGCATGGACCTTCCCAGGCAAGCAGGCGTCCCACCTTGTTCAACTTCAGAACACCAGCGACCTCTTGCGGCAAAGATGGATACATTTTAAATTTGTGTAACTGCCACAGAGGGTGATTGAGAAGGTTGCCTGATGAAATTCTGCTTCTTTTTCAGATTGAAATAGCGACAGCGATACCTTCGGGGAACAGAGAGCTCCTCACCCCGCCACTACAGCCAAAGGATGCTGAAGAGGAAGAGGAAGAGGAGTCCACCCCCAGACTGATTGACGGCTCTTCTCCACAGGAGCCTGAATTCCCTGGGGTTCTGGGCCCACACACCAATGAAGGTCAGGTCCATCAAAGCTGGATTGTAATGAAGTCCACTTGTACAGTCCTCAAAACTGCCAAGCTCCAACTCTGCAGGGAGCCCCCATGACCCAAGGAGTAAACTTTGTTATAGGCTAGGTTTGAAGCAGGAGATATACATGTATTTGGTATTAAAATATAAAGCTGTTTTAATACTTCTGCTTTGGCATGATGGAAATGATCAAATAACCAAAGATTTGGGGTCAAATATTTTTCTGGCATCATTACTCAGAAAGCTTTGTGGTGGAATGCATTTCTAGAACAAACGATACACTATCAGCAAGATCAGAGTCCGTGTCTGAGAGATCAGGCCCCAGCAGTTCAAGGAGATCAAGTGATGATGGACGACGATGATGATAATGATGATGGTGATGATGGTAATATTATTTTACATTGATTGAGCACATGCTTTCTGTGGGCCATAATGCTCAGCACTTCACATTATCTCGTTTGACTATTGCAACCTCCTTGTGAAGGTATTAGTATTATTTTTTTCATTATTACCAAGGAAACTAGCTCAGAGAGCATAGGAACTTTCCAGAGATCACATAGCTATTAGGTTCACACACTGGGTTTGAAGCCTGTTCTGATTCTTGTCTGCGTACTTATTGGAAAACAGGCTTCTTTTCACTCAGTCCTGGAAAGCAGCAGGAAAAGGAAAAGAGAAGAAAGTATTTCATAACATCGGACTCCATCTAGTAGGGCCTGAGGTTGATGTAAACCATGGCCTTTTATTTAGGTCATGAGAAGGAATTCCTGGTGCTGAGCCTGATTCTATGATTTGTTGGTATTTCATGTTAGAATTTGCCAGTGTCAACCTTGGGGGCTGTTCAAGTGGACTCACACCAGAACACTATTACACACTTGGAGAATGGTGTTGTGAGGGGGTACAGAGTTCCCATTGCAAAGGTTTGGTTAGTATCAAGAGTCTCTGTACTAGAAATTCTGGAGATACAAGACTTGTCTTAAAATGACTACTGTTTTCACAGATATTTCTGTCTAGTACATAGAGACAGACATGTAAACCAACTTAGAGACAGTGATATGTTACAGGTAATATAAGAAAAGTTTGTACAGAACACACTGAGAACAGAAGAGAGGAAAGAGCATTCAAATCCCAGCTTTGAGACTTTGCTAGATATACAGTCTTGAGCAAAGCAGTCAGTATTTTTTTGCCTTTGTTTTCTCATCTAAAAAATGGGATAATAAATAATAGATCTTACCTCATAGAGTCGTTATAAGGATTAACTGAATGAAGTTAGTGCCTGGCCCACAGTAAACATCATAAATGTTAGTTATTCTCAATACTCTATTCTTGATAGAAGAGTACATCTTTTGTTTTTGTTTTTTTTTTGCGGTATGCGGGCCTCTCACTGTTGTGGCCTCTCCCGTTGTGGAGCACAGGCTCCGGACACACAGGCTCAGCGGCCATGGCTCACGGGCCCAGCCGCTCCGCGGCATGTGGGATCCTCCCGGACCGGGGCACGAACCCGTGTCCCCTGCATCGTCAGGTGGACTCTCAACCACTGCGCCACCAGGGAAGCCCGAAGAGTATATCTTTTTTGTTTACTCTCAACAAACTTTTCAGTGTGCAATACAGCATTGTTAACTATAGGAACTGTGTTATAAGCAAATGTCTAGAACTTAATTCATCTTACATAACTGAAACTTTATACCTGTTGAACAGCTGTCTCTTTCCCCCTCCTTCCAGTCCCTGGTAACCACCAATCTACCCTCTGCTTCTGTGAGTTTTTAACTGTTCACCAATAAGTAGTGTAAAAATGTTGTCTTTTGTGAAATGCTGCCTATACGCCAGCCACTAAAGTGTTTTATGTACATCAGCTCTTTGAAGAGATACAACAATACTAAGTACTAGTTACTGTTATCTTCGCTTTATAAATAGGAAAACTAAAATTCCAAAATACTATAAAAGTTGTCCAAGGTCATGGAAGTGGTACGTAGGGGCGCTGGCATGAAAACAGAGGCCACTAAGCCCTTTCTTTAATGAAGACACCATATTCTTTCCACATAGTCAACTTTCTATGAAGTAGCAGAACACGCTACAGACAGAACCAGGGAGATACACACACAGTGAGAAGGAAATGTACATATCCAGCAGAAAGTCCTCAAAATAGGGAAATTAAATATCTCTAGAACATTACTTACTTTTAAGTAATTTCAGATCTTTCAAAAGTTGACTGATCTGGCATCATTACCTAATGAGCCAGGAACAATAGAAGAGCAGAATGTCCAATCTTTTTAAAAGCTTTAGTAAAACTTATGGCTCAATAATGTCAGTTTTGAAACAATATAAGAAAAATTATGACTTAAAAAAACTTTTTGTCTCTAAAGGAGTCTGAGAATAAGTAATGAAGTTAAAATTTTAATTCACATTTTACTTTCCAAAGAGGAAGCATCTCTCGAAATTCTAAACTTTAAAATTAAATTTAAATCTTATAAATTTATCAAAGGCAAATAGTTTGGAAATATTTAAAACATTAAAAGTCAAAATATTATTTGTTACTATGAATATCAATTTCTAGAAATAGTATTCTGAAGCCACATAAAGTAGGCTTGAGTTATGAGTGGAAAAAACTAGAATTAAATAATAACTGGTGTGACTATATATAACTACCCTAAGTGATTATTAAACTAGCATGACCATGAATATATAGAACAAAATGCTTTACTTTCTAAAAACTGTGATAAGTAGCAAATACTCATTTACAGTGATTAGAAAAATTAGCAAGTACTAAATAATGCATAGCTCTCCCTTAAAATTTTTTCCTAGATTTACATTCCTAAAATAGTTTTCATTCCTGAAGTTGTTATTATACGTGATTTTTCTATTTAACAACAGTAATAAGACCTTAGTAGGTGCATTACCAGTTCTTGATCTCAAACCACGAATGGCTCCTTCAACAAAGGCAACCAAATGTCCCGATTTGCCTGGGAGTGAAGGGATCCCAAGACCGGGGGCTTCCAGTGCTAAAACTAGCAAAGTCTCAGCTAAATGGGGATGAATTGACACTGAGCAATCCCAAGAAAGTCTTCCATCACTTTCTTCTTCTATCTCTCATGGCTAGTTCACTTTCCCCATCAATCTCATGTCTCACAACTTTTTTCTCCTCCTCCCTAAACCCCTCAAACTCATCAGAGAGCTTAGCCGCCTCCTTCACAAAGAAAATGCAGTCTTCTGGTCAGCAGTTCTTTGGTCTTTCTGTTTGCAGACATATAATTTACCTACATCTACATCCATGCATCTACTCCTATTACAACAGAGGAACTGTCTGTCCTCCCACATGTGGGATGTAAATTCTTCCGATTGTGTTTTTTTCCCCCTACTACACCTATGATTATCAGAATTTTGCATTCTTTTTCCAGTAACAGTGGTAGAATTACATTAATTCATAATTTTTCCAGGGTATGACTAGTGACCAGAAGCAACTAGGAAAACTGACAAATTATAGAACAAACTTTCTCTCAATGAACTAAATGATACATACAGGGATTGAGCTAGGAACCTTGGTTTCACAGATGCGTCCTTCACACCACAGATTTTAAATTAAACTGAAATCTTCATTCTTCCCATTGTGTTTTGAGTCCCATTTCCTGCTGCCCTCTCAGTATCCTTTTTATATTCAGTCTCTCTTCCTCTGGATTCTTTTCTTCAAATCTCTCCCACTTTAGTCCATTTCCTCATCATACACACCACAAATACGTCTTCTTATAGTTATCACCATCTTTCTTTCCTTTTTCTTTACAGTCAAACATCTCAATAGCATGGTTTGTATGTGCTGTAACTATTTCCTCACCTCTAACTTCCTCCTTCGTGGCTGTAATCCAGCTTCCAACCTCATCACTCCACAGTGTTTACTGAAGTTTCCTATAATCCCCACAGTAACTAATCCAAGAGACATTTTTCAGTCCTTAACTGACATCTCAGGAGGCTTAGATTATTTTCTATTCCCTATTCCTTCAAACTAACTCTCCACTTGGCCTCCGTAACATCGTCCATCCTATTGTCCTTCTTTTCTTCCGGCCATTTCTTCTCTATCTCCCTTGAAGCTCACTGTCCTCTACATGACCAATAAACAGAGTGCAAAGGACGGGTAGGAGTGTGTATGTACGGGGGTGATAGAAAAAAATAGATTAATAAATGGAGATATAATCCAGCCTGACAACTCTTTTGGATCTGTTGTCTTTTCTATCACCATTACCCTAGCCAAGCAACCGTCATCTTTTATCTAGATAACTCATCTCCTCTCTGCCTACTGGCCCTCCATCAGTCTTCCAGCTTACCTTCAATCAGCGTGACATCTTAGCATGCAAATCTGATCATGTAATACCCCTGCCCATCCTTAAGATAAGGAACAAAATCTGTAACACAGCCTATAAGGCCCGTGTGTGTTATGTCTTAAACATTGCAATGCTCGCTGTACTGTAGCTACAGGGACCATCTTTTGGTTCCTCCAAAGTGAAGGGACTTGGCACCTGCTGCTTCCTCTGCCTGCATGCTCTTCCCTGTCACCTGCATAATCAATTCTTGTTCTTCCTGCAGATTTCAACTCAATTATCACCTCCTCAGAAAACGATGACTCTCAGACTGAATCAAATTCCTGTAGTTTATGCTCCTATGATATTTCTTGACATTTACCACAGTCATCATTTTATTTATTTGTGATTAACATTCATCTTACATAGCAGATTACAAAACAGAACTGTCTCTTTGGCTCACCACTGTTTCATCAGCTAGCACAGTGCCATTTACAAAGAAAAGATTTAATAAATGCACATTGAGTGAATTAATATTAATGATCATTGCCCTTTTTCTTGATTTTGTTTCAGTGGGTTGTTTAAATATTGAACGAAAGACCTAATAAAAATATTATATGTGATGTTTTAAATTTATAAAAACCACAATGTTAATATTTACATCTGAAAATAGAATTTCCAGTAAATATAAGAGCAACAACCATGCAATATTCACTCAGTAATTTAAAATAAAATTTTAAAGCATTACAAAGAATATACTAATTATTGGGGTAGCCTTAGTTGGTATATTTGACTTTAATATTCCATTTAAAGAAAACTATATGAGAAAATATTAAATATGCCAGAATAGTCTGAGATGCGAATCTTGTTTAATAAATATTCGTAATCACATAATTTGTTAGAAGTTGCTTTTGTTGCTTACATATATTGTTTGCCTCTTTTAGACTTTCCAACCTGCCTTCTGTGTACTTGCATAAGTACCACTGTATACTGTGATGACCATGAACTTGATGCTATTCCTCCGCTGCCCAAGAACACTGCTTATTTCTATTCCCGCTTTAACAGAATTAAAAAGATCAACAGAAATGATTTTGCAAGCCTAAGTAAGGATGATGGCACTAATACCCTTCTCTTTACAGACTTTTCCTAAAATGTTTGCACTGTGAAATGTTGGTACTGAAAATGAAACTTGAATATCAAAATATGACTCAAATCAATTATTTTTACTTTTGAAGGTTTGTTTTATGATAAGAAAAAATGGTTGTTATGAAAACTATAAAGGTTGTTATGAAACTATATAGTTGTTGATACTCTCAAACTATTTTCAAATAAAGAAAAATCACAAATAATTCTATTTTATAGGTTAAATCTCATTATCATGTTGTAACAATAAGAGTAGAAAGTCATGGTCATATATTTACTAGGATCTGGCTTGTTTGAATAGACTTCCAGTAAAGCACAATTGCTTTATGACTGATGAATGCAAACCTAAATTCTGACTTTATAATTGTTGTCAACTTTGAAGAATTTTGGTACTTGTCTTCATTAAGTGTTTTAATCATTCGAAAGTTTCTTTTTAATGCTTTTGTATTTTAATGCTAATGCATCTATTACTATTAGAAAATACAATAATCTGCCATCAATGAGAAAAATGTTTTAAATAGAAAATCCAGACAAAGTTTATGAAGAATATAGGGAAAAGACCAGTTAAATATAATGAGTCAGTTTCTTTGCTAAAGTTACACTTTCTTATAAGAGCATAAATATGAATAGTATTTGGGGGAAACAATTAAATTTTTATGAAGTTGTTAGAAATAATTGTTTCATTAGTTGTCCATTGCTAATTAAATTCATATTTATATTTGCTTGTATATGGGAAAGTTTATATTCCTATTTTTATGTGAGCAAAACATATTCAAGAATATTTAACTACTTCCCTCATTTTTTTCCAGATGATCTAAGGAAGATTGATCTGACCTCAAATTTAATATCTGAGATTGATGAAGATGCATTCAGAAAGCTACCTCGACTCCGAGAGCTTGTCCTGCGTGACAACAAGATAAGGCAGCTCCCAGAATTGCCAACCACTTTAACATTTATTGATATTAGCAACAATAGACTTGGAAGGAAAGGAATAAAGCAAGAAGCATTTAAAGTGAGTTTTGAGTTTGAATATGAAAGACTTTCATCTTCCCATTCCCTTTGCTATCAATGACTAGCCTTTTTATTTCCACAAAGGGATTCAATTTGATGAGAGTTTTAACTCCTAAAATAAACTTTACAACACTATGTATCATGCTTTGGGGACATACTGTGTTCTGGTACATTCTGAGGCTGCTCAAGCACCAAGAACAGAAAGCAGAGCTGGAATAAGAAGTGCGTGGCTATCTGGAGCACCACTCTATAAATTGCACCTGGAAATGCTGTAAGCTGGGTGAATTGTATTTACCAAAAATGCCACTTAACAAGAGTATCTTATGTGGTTGGAAGGACAACTACTTGTACAGAGTGTGGGTGGTGCCTTTGAGGGTAGAAACCTTCTAAATTATTTTGTAAGGAGAATGGATTCAGTTAATCTTATGCATTTTGTTTTTTAAGTGAAGGAAACAAGTTTGGGGTTAGAGTGACTTGCTTGGAATAACAGCATAGAATCTGAGAATAGTAACCAGATTGGCTTTCTTACCCACTCTTACTCCATTCAAGCTGCTCCTCTAAATATATGTTGAACAAACAAATTTAAACTACTGTTTGAAGGGACATCACATTACTTCCATGGAGGCTACAGGGGGTTACATGGACCCGTTAGCACTGAGCAATGGTGGAAACCCTGTCTCTCCACTAGCTCTCCTGTGACACCACCCTGGTGGGCAAGGAAGTTAGGGCACCTCATTAGAGCCTGGTAAAGGTCAAAATCTAGTCTCTCCACTCAGATTTTGTTGGTATGGGTGGTAGTGAGTCACAGTTTGTCCTGTGATGTTTGGCTAGAGTAGACCTGTTATTATCTAAACTTATTCTGTCTTGCTAGGCTGCCCTTTACCTGGTACTTGGGCTGGAGCGAGCAAGATTTTGTTGGGGAGAACTTTTCATTTCTCCATTCCTGTAACATGAAGGAAATTCTTGCTATGTCTCACCAAAATCTTCAAAATCCTATTGCAGAGTGTCTTATGTGGGAAGTCGCTGCCTTGCTTAAATAGAGAAAGTTAGAGTGGGCAAAGAAAGCTTCTGCCTAGAGATTGAGAAACATGTTTCATTTGCATAGAGAGATATTTGCTTGCTATCAATTCTTCCAAAACTCATTTGAATTGTCCAGTAACACAGAAAACTAATTTGCCTCAATTTTACAAAACAAGACCTGAACAGGCATGTATTATTTCACAAATAGTTTCACAGACAGGGAATTAAAAATACAACTGTAGCACCACTAATTTTTATTAAGACCCTACATTTGGAATGTTTACAGGATATGTATGATCTCCATCATCTCTACCTCTCCGATAACAACTTGGAACACATCCCTCTGCCACTCCCAGAAAATCTACGGGCCCTTCACCTCCAGGTAGGCTTCTACTAGTAAGTTATCCCCAACACCTCCATGGAAAACAGAAGCAAACAGGTGAAGGTGGGATGCAAAAGCTGTTTATAATGGCATGTTGATACATTGTGACAATTTTTCTTTTCTTTTCTCCTGTCTTTAATTCATTCTCTCAATCTGAGTACAAGATAATTGTACATTCATGACTCTTATCTCTACTGATTTATTTCTGATAAGTTTAGTCTTTATTCTCATTCTTTGCCAAGTCATAATGCATCTTTTTGACATACAAAGCTTCTTTTAAAAAAATGAGAGCTTCATCTGCTGAAGAAATGTGTAAAGATTAGAAATGGAAGAGAAAAAGAGGGAAAGAAAAATCTGATTTGATTTCTAGCTTTCAGGGGGAAAAAAAGGTCAGTTTTAGCTCTTGATTTTAGGTTCCATGTACTGAGGAAAATTCAATCCTAGGACATTCCTATCTGCTGAGAGATGACAGACTTCCATCTCTCTGGATTAAGAAAATGCAGTTTTTTCCAAACAAACATATTTGAAAGCTTGCATTATTTTAAATCCCTTTAAGCTACATTTTATCTCTGAAATAATGAGTGAAAACACATTTTCAAAATGTTATGATCTAATATTTTCTAAATATATTAAAAATACGATCAATTAAAACAAATGTTTTTGGTTGTTGAAACAAAGAAAGATAAATTATTTCAGATATGAGTAACTTTTGTTCTACAGCTGTAATCAATGTAATAATTTCATCTGTGGAATAAGTCTGTAGGGAACACAACCATTATGTGCTCAAAGACATGATATCATGGTGTAATATTACAATCTTTTAGCAAAAAATAAAGTATAGACCATCACAAGAAGTGATTTTGCTATGTGAGAGCAAGTTTGATTCTTTTTTTCTCTGTGGACCCTGTAATTATTTACTTCTGTGAATTTTCTTTTATTCCTATTTATATCTTTCCATACTTCTTTTTGGTATCTTTTTGTGAATATCTGTCTATGAGTCTTGTCTGAGTCTGTCACTTTTGAGGGGTTTTCTGGCTGTGTTAACTTCCTTAATGTGTATTCCCTTTCTGGTTCTCGTCCTGTTTCTCTATGGCTCTCTCTTGATCTCTCTTTTTCTGAGGGTGAATTTCTATACATATGAGGATTTCTTGTCTTGTTTAGGATTGGAAGAGGATTTTCAAGGGCATCCTCAGGGAAATTTTGGAATTTTTTTCCAATTCTGAATTAAATTTTATTATTATTGTCTTTGATGATATTGACTTCTACAGAGTAACCAGGTCTCTGATGTTATATTTAAACTGAATGCGCTTGTATATACAATATAAGATTTTTTTTGAAGTAATTGGCTTTACAGTCCCTATTCTAAGGTTTAAAAAGGCATTAAGTGAACCTTTTAAAATATTTCTCTTTCACAATCACCTCAGCAATATCCAGTATAAAGCTGTTTTTAATTTAAATTATCGTCATTTTATATTCATTTTAATGCTCATATAAAAATCTCCTTTTTTGATTCATTTGAAAAATGTTTTTCAACATATGGTTTAGTAATTAAGAATGACAACTCTGGCAAAATCAGACTTCCTGGGCTGAAATTCTACTTGACACTATTTAATGATTGGACAAATATCTAAACCTCCCTGCGTCTCAGTTTTAGTTTATAAAGTGGGTACTGCATTTACTGATACATGATAAGTATCACTTAAAGGTGAGGCATGATAATTATTAACAATGTGTATCTATTACCTAGCAAAGAAAACAGTACAGTGCATAGGCACTAAATCTGTATTATTCCTCATGGGCACTTTGTAATCATAGAGAGTCAATCCATCAGAAAGATGTAATGCTTATAAACACATGTGCACCTAACAACAGAGCCTCAGAATTTATAAAGACTACACTATCAGAATTAAACGGGGAAATAGACAATTCAACAATAATAATTGGATTCCTCAATACTCCACTTTTAATAGTGGATAGAACAACTAGCCATAAGATCAACTAAGAAACACAAGACTTGAGCAACATTATATACCAACTAGCCCTAACAGTCATCTATATAACATTCAACCCAACAACAGCAGATATACATTCTTCTCAAGTGACAAGGAACATCTCCAGGATATACAATATACGAAGCCACAAAACAGGTCTCAACAAACTGAAAAGAATTGAAATCATACAAAGCATTTTTCTGATTACAATGAAATTAAAATAAAAATCAACAACAAAGAAAACAGGAAATTCACAAATATGTAGATATTAAACAACACCTTCATTAATAAGCCATGGATCAGAATAGAAATCTAATAAATTAGTTCAGCAATATGACAGTTTACAAAATCAATACATAAATACTAATGTATATGTATATACTAGAAATGAAAAATCTGAAAATAAAATTAAGAAAACAAGCCTATTTATAATAAGAAAATATTTAAAATAAGAAAACAAACTTATTTATAATAGTCACAAAATAATAAATTACCTAAGAATAATATTAATAAAGGAATGCAAAATTTGTATACTGAAAACTACGACATATTGTTGAAAGACTTCTGCACAGCAAAGGAAACAATTAACAGGGAGAAGAGATAACCTATGGAATGGGAGAAAATATTTGCAAATCATACATTTGAGAAGGGGTTAATATCCAAAATATATACAGAACTCAAACAACTCAATAGGAAAAAAAAAATAAGCTAATTAAAATATTGGCAAAGGAGTTGATTAGACATTTCTCTAAAGAAGACGTACAAATGGCCAATAAGTATGTGAAAAGGAGCTCAACAAGACTAATCATCAGGGAAATGCAAATCAAAACCACAAAGAGATGTCACCTCACACCTGTTAGAAGGGCTATTATCAAAAAGACCAAAGTTAAGTGTTGGCAAGGATGTGGAGAAAAGGTAACCTTTGTACACTGTTGGTGGGAATATAAGGTGATACAGATATGGGAAACAGTATGATGTTTCTTCAAAAAAAAATTAAAAACATAACTACCATACGATTCAACAATCCCACTTCTGGGTATATGTCCAAGGGAAATGAAATAAGTATCTTGAAGTTATCTGCACTTCCATGTTCATGGTGTCACTTGTCACAATAGCCAAGATATGGAAACAACCTAAATGTCTGTCAATGGATGAATGGATAAAGAAATTGTGGTCTATGTATACAATGGAATATTTTTAAGCCTTAGAAAAGAAGGAAATCCTGCCATTTGCAATAACATGGATGAACCTGGAGAAATAAGTGAAATAGGTCAGCTATAGAAAGAAAGATATTATATGATCTCTCCCATGTGTAAAATCTAAAAAAGTCAAGCTCATAGAATGGTGGTTACCAGGGACTGGGGGGTGGGGGATATAGGGAGACATTGGTCAAAGGGTATAAAGTTTTAGTTATTCACGATAAACAAGTTCTGGAGGTGTAACATACAGCATGGTGACTGTAGTTAATAACACTATACCGTATACTTCAAATTTGTTGAGAGTAGATCTCTAATGTTCTCACCAGACACATACACAAAAGGTAACTATGTAAGGTGACGGAAATGTTAATTAGCTTGATTGTGGTAACATTTCACAATGTATACATAAATCAAAACATAATGCTGTACACCTTAAATATCTACAGTTTTATTTGTCAAAGGTACCTCAATAAACCTGGGAGGAAAGAGAGCTAAATAAAGGAAAGATATCCCCATATTCATGTTTGGAAGTCTTAATATTAAGATGGAAATATGCCCCAAATTGATCTACAAATATTTTAAGTAGAAACTCACAAGTAATTTATTAAATTATTTGAACTAATCAATGAGTTGAGCAATGTGGAAGGTTATAAAATCAACATAAAATATCAATTGTATTTCTATGCTAGCAATGAACTAAACCACAATGGGATACCACTTTACACCCACTTGGTTGGCTAAAATAAAAGAGACAGACAATTACAAGTTTTGCTTAGGATGCAGAGAAAAATGGAACCCTCATACATTGCTGGTAGAGGTGTAAAAGAGTGCAGCTATTTTAAAAAGCAATTTAATACTTCCTCAGAATATTAAACACAGAGTTATCATATCACCTAGCAATTCAACTCCTACGTACATATGCAAAAGAACTGAAAACGTATGTCCACACAAAATTTGTACACAAATGTTCATAGAAGCATTATGCATGAGAGCCAAAAAGTGGAAACAATCCAAATTCCCATTATCTGATAAATGGATAAACAAAAATGTGGCATATCCATAGAGAAGAATATTATTGAGCAATAAAAGAAAAAGTACTGATACATGCTGCAGCATGTACGAATCTTGAAAATACAATCCTGAGAAGAAGAACCCAGTCACAAAAGATGATATATTGTTTGATTCCCTTTGTGAAATGTCTAGAATAGGAAAATCCATAGAAACAGAAAGTAGTTTAGAAGTTGTCAGGGGCTAGAGGTTGGGGAAAATGGGGAGTTATTTCTAATATCTATGGGGTTTCTTTGGAGGATGTTTAAAATGCCCTGAAATTAAACTGTTGTGATCCTTATACAAGTCTGTGACTATATTGAAAACCACTGAACTGTACACTTAAAATGGGCGAATTTTATGCTATGTGAAATGTACTCAATAAAGCTATTTAAAAAAATCTAGGGCTTCCCTGGTGGCGCAGTGGTTGAGAGTCCGCCTGCCGACGCAGGGGACACGGGTTTGTGCCCCAGTCCGGGAAGATCCCACATGCTGCAGAGCGGCTGGGCCCGTGAGCCATGGCCACTGAGCCTGCGCATCCGGAGCCAGTGCTCCACAACGGGAGAGGCCACAACAGTGAGAGGCCCGCGTACAGAAAAAAAAAAAAAATCTAGTTCTGGGCCCTGCCCAGACCTATATCTTCCTGACACTTGCTCACTCTCTCCCTCACTTCACTTCAGCCATGTTGACTTTTTTTCCCATTCTTAAACTTTCCATACTAATTACTCAGAATTGGAACTTGGTGTTCTCTCTGCCTGGGATATTCTTGCCTCAGCTCTTTCCATGCCCATGTCTCCTTGTCACTCCTTGCTCAGCTCCACTGTTGCCTCTTAAGATAACTTGTCACAGTCACCATCCTTTCTTCTGAGTTCACATCATTTTTGGAAATAACTTGTTTTCTTTAAATTTGTTTTTTCACCTCCTTATTGTATATTCCCATTACTGAAATACAAGCTCCATACTTGCGTATTATGTTAATTGATTTATCCCCACTGCTTAGAAAGTGCTTGATGTATAATAATCACATAACGTGCATTTTTGGATGAGAGAAGGAATGAAAGAGTAAAAACGGGTGAAGCAAAATGGACTATATTATTAATCAATACCAAGAATATGTTATATCATGTCTAATCATTTATTTTAATCTTTTTTAGAATAACAACATTCTGGAGATGCGTGAAGATACCTTCTGCAATGTTAAAAATTTGACTTATATTCGTAAGGCACTAGAGGATATTCGATTGGATGGAAACCCTATCAATCTAAGCAAAACTCCTCAAGCCTACATATGCCTACCTCGTTTGCCTATTGGGAATCTTGTCTAATTGCAGATAATGGTCAGCGTTATGATGCCTGCTATAACAAAACAATTCTTACTGCTCTCTTTCAAAAGAAAACTCAGCATGATACTTTCAAAATGTGTTCTGAAAGATAATTACATAAAATACAGCTAAAAGTTTTAATATATGATAGCAATTTAGGAATCTAAGAAAACACGAGATGAATCAGGAATAAACTAAAAGATGTACAGAAAGTGCAAAACTAAAAGATAGAAAATATTTCACAGATATTCTTATATGTCACATGTAATCTGCAAGTTTTAGGGATTCATATCCTCTATAATTTTAAATTAATCATATAATAAAAATTAAAAATTAACATTTTAGGTATATTGCCAAGATTTAAATGTTTTTAATTAAACTTTTCTCTCCTTTTTTTTCACTAAAACATGTTTCTTTTTTCAAATTCATGAAAGAAAATGAAGAAAAGAATAAAAATATTTGAAAATTATAATGGCTTTGTGGAAAAATATTCATTATAATCACAACATGCAAATAACCATAATAATATACATAGCTTCAGTATTTGAAAAATATTTTATCATCTTAAAGACCTGCCAACTCATTTTAGACCCTTCCTAAACTGACACTGGCATACTTCTGTGCCTGTGAAAAAAATAAAATATACAAAATGGAAAACATAAACAATGATATGAAAATCACAGTAGGGAAGAAGTTGAGGAGTACCTTCTAGAAAAAGTTGATCTTTCTGAAATGTATGATAATAATACAGGCACTTGCTTAAAAACTGAAAGATAACAAAAGAGTATACAATGAAATGTGAGTTTCCTTCCAGCAGCAAACCCTAAGCTCCACTCCTTAGAAATAGTCAATGCTTTCTTGCATACTTTTATTAAGTTTTCCATAAGAAACAAAAACTTGCACATAAATAATTTCCCCTTTTTTACAGAAAAGTGTATGCATTTGCTACATGTATATATATACAGCCAATATGTATGTATCAGTACATGTAAACATGGATTTTTAAGCACAAAAGATAATCACTATTCTGCACCTTCCTTGTTTCACTTAAAAATATTTCTTGGTGATGTTTGTCATATCGGCACATACAGCCCTACTGATTCTGAACAACACATATCAGCCCATTACATGGATATACATTGTTATAATAGGAGCCAATTCTCAGACACAAAATACGTACCAGGCATCTACTGAGGTGTTCTGCATGTATTAATTCACAACATCTTAGGAGCTGGAGACAGTAATGACTATTCCAAGTCACAGATCAGAGACAGAGCTTAAATAATTTGCCGTGGATTAAGAGCTGACTCCAAAGGTCTATCCTATTCCACCCCACTGTCCCGCCTCAAATACTATGAATGTAACTTTTCCCTCTTTTATAATACAAGAAAGTGGTGTACAGGCTGGACAGAGAAGTTGTTATGAACTGAATGTTTACCCCCAGAATTCATATGTTGAAGCTCTAACCCTCAATGTGATGGTGTTTGGAGACGGGGCCTTTGGAAGTTTAATTAGGGTTAGATGAGGTCATGAGATAGGGTCCTCATGATGGGATTTGTGCCCTTATAAGAAGAGAAAGAAAAAGAGATTGTGTGTGTGTTTGTATGTGTGTGCGTGTTTATGTATGTGCACATGCACTAAGGAAAAGCCATGTGAGGACATAATGAGAAGTCAGCCATGTGCAAGCCAGGGAGAGAGCTCCCATTAGAAACCAAATCAGCTGAGACTTTGATCTTGGACATCCTAGCCTCCAAAACTCTAAAACTGATCCCTGATTAAATACAATCCTTTTTTTAATGACAACGTTTTTTTCTTTATGAATTTGCTACACACATTTACTTTTCTCTAAATATTACAGGTTATTTTCCAAAAGGGAGGACACTGCATTTTATTGCCCCGTATTACAGTGTACTTTAAAACTATTTATAAGCAAACATTTCCATTTAAAATTCCTAATTAATTCTTACTGAATACACAGGTTTTTCAGATGACAGGCCTAAAATGTGTTGTGTTAATCGTCTGAAAACCCTGAGTTATTATAGGGTTAGTAATATTTTCAAAGGACAATAGCAAATAATACCTACACATAGTACTCTTATGAGTGTAAAATTCACATCCTTACTTCTCTTTAAATCTGTAGCAACACTGTCTTTGTAGTTATCTCATTACAAAGTTAATTTTCCCTTCCTAATTTACTTAAATAATATGAGAATTCATAAATGTTTTGAAAATACTGCAGTGGTATTCCCTGATTCACAACATGCCTCACCAATTTGCAAACTAACCCCACAACTTCCCAAATTATGAAGAGAAAGCAATGAGTTATTTTAAATCCCTTTTTTCTCACTTTCAAAAAGTCAGAAAGGCTTAATACCTTGTATTTAGCCTCTGAAACTGCTAGATGGTTTCAAATTACATGATTATATTCACGGTGGAAAAAGACACGTTTTTGAGAGTGCATAAAATGAGTTCTATTGACATTATTTTTCGTATAACATAGCAATGCATTGGTTACAAAGATAAATCTGAAATACTTGTTGTATGTCATTTCTCTGACCAAATATATCAGGTATATCCAACTTTTCTCTAAAGAATTTTATTTACAAGTTTAATTAGCTGAGGTTTGAGTTCCAAAAGCCTGTCAAAAAATACTAAACTCTAATAAATATACCCAATGCCACCACACTAGAATAAATAATAATTAATATTGGCAACCTGGAGTAATTTAAATAAGGTATTCGTGATCAAATATATTTATAAAGGGTCTAACTTCACGTAGTTTCTTTCATATAAGGACTTTCACTGACTGAATTTTGAACGAGTTACTACTGCCATCAAGTGTTAGGATTCATTCTTTTCAAGTCACCCAAATGCACAAAAATCAACACCAAGACTGCAGTGTTTTCAACTTAACAACATAATGCTCTGAATAACATAAAACATAGCAAAACCCATGCTGTCACATGGCACTTATCAGAATTTCAAAATGCAACAATATCATTAAAATCTCCCAAATAAAGTTGTAACTAGTTAATACGAAGGACATATTTTACTCCATTGACTTGAAACGTGTGGCAAACAGACTTTAAGTTGATCCCCAATGATTTCCTGCCTCTTGGTGTTCATGCCTTTGTGTAATCCTCTCTCCTTGCGTGCTGGTAGGACCTGGGCCTTGTTTCTGACCAATAGGATATGGCAAAGGTGAGTGATGTCACAAAAGTCAAGCTCCATGATTATAATACGTGTGTGTGTGTGTGTGTGTGTGTGTGTGTGTGTGTGTGTGTGTGTG